GCTCCACGATCGGTTCCGCTCCTCATTGCTGTACACAACCCGATTTTCGTCCCTCGTGCTCATGCGTTTCAGAAACGGCTCATTTTTATTTCGTTCGAGCAACGAGTCGCACATGGAGGTGCGGTCCATCGCATTGCGCTCGCTCCTTTCGCGAGATATCCAAACATCAAGGCGCTTTACACAAATAAGTGTCTGCAGATGACCATGGATGGTTAATTTCGAAGCACTAAGCCCTTGTCCTACTCCACGAGCAGTGATGTGCCGATTTGCTTCGGTTAACATTTTGAGTTGATCGTTTAAACTGATGATCGTCTCCCTAAGGGTTGCCGGTCTTCGAAGGCAAATTCGCTCTGTTTGGATTCCGCAAACTAGTCATGCACTGTACGTTCCTCTAAGGCATGGTCTACTCAGAGGTCATATATCTTTCATGCGACTTGAGCCGCAATCTGGGCCTTGCGGTAGAAGAAATACTACAGATGTCGAAAATGCGCGCAGTGGTTCTCCATTTTTATGCGAGTCCTGTACAGAGAAACTTCGGCAAATGTTGACAGAATCTTTACAGGAATATAGAGGAGGATCTACTCTTTCAGAAAACATATAACTTTATTAGGTTGAGTCCTTGATCTTTTGTACAACGGTAGATAAATCCGGGGTGTCAAAAATCGGCGGAAACTTTTCGGACAACCCAATACATCTAGTTGTCACGTCGTGCAGATTTGTATTTGACTCTCACCGATTTGGAACTGATGCGCCTTCAAAACTCGTACATTTCCTTAATCACTACAGACATGGACGGGGAGTATAAAAAACAGCGATTCAATCTGTCTAGTCATACGTCACTTTGTGCTTAGTGCTGCTTATCAGTGTACTGTGCTGCCATTTAGGTAATAGAAGAGTTCCTTCACACGGTCACAATGTTCCAAACTTATTGAGTTGTACTTATCGTCGCTGATTGTGGGTACCACAGGTAAATGCATCCCATACTCCCAGTTAGAAAAAGTATAGTGAGGGCAATCAAGTTAATGATCTATATGTGGGAAATGCATTGTCCGTGAGATGCTTAATGATAGATTTTCACTGGACCTTTTGTTCCATAAAGTGGGCCTGACTCTCAGTATCACAAGGACACTGTAGTCTGTGTTCACACACAAAAAGAAAATATGCTCCCTAAAAGATATGTATGTCAGATTGCCCGACCCACGCCGGTCCTGCCTTCCTGATGTTGACCCAACATTTCTCCTTGGTACGAATCCATAATTTTTCTGATTTTGCAATTTTTAGAAGGAAACCCTTCAACTACGCGGGCCCTTCAAAATCGGCACAGAGCGCTTATGTATTCAAATTAATAAGTTATAAATTTATATCCGCTTCGTAAATATCCTTGTCGTTCTTGATTCTGACAATACCTACCCTAAAGAATTCAATTCATCCTCTATTGCGTCCATTCGACCACCAACTATTTTGCAATCTGGTTAGTCAACTGGAGCCATGATTGATGTAGATTAATTTTAACACCGACATCAGGAGTCAACACTTTTAATTCCTTTCATGTCGATGTATTTCTTTTACTTATAAAAAGTAACTTGGTGTGTCGGTTTGTCGGTATGTCGGTATGTAGGTTTATCTGTTTGCCAGTTCGCAAAACGTTATGATCAACATAAAAGTAGTATATGAGAACCCATTTCTATCACACATTTCCTTCTTATATGTATGTAAAGGGGCGGAGGTAGTGTAGTGGTAAGTGACGCACTATCTCACACGTACGGTCAGGGGTTCGTATCACGGATCGATGCCCGCCTCGGCCAACCAGGCCTTCCATCTCTCCTGGGTCGGTTAATCGGTATTAGACTCGTCAGGGAGGATAGAACACTAACTTGTACATCGGCTGACCACCTTAAGTCATTGTATAGGCCGCAGACGCCCTCATTACGCCACTACGATTCTGAATGGAAGTCGAGTTCTGGGGCGCATCCCTCAGACGGGATTGATTAGCGCCGAAAACTTCATCATTCATCCTTATGTATGTAAAGCAGTAAACTGATGAGCGGTTAATGGAGTAGAGTGAGTACTGCGCAATGTAGTGAGTAATGTGGAGTAAGGTGGGTATTTCAAAACTGTGATTTCAATCTGTACTGGCATCGGGCTATGTATTTCTATATAAAAATGGAAGGGATAATGTAGTTGGGAGACCTGCGCTTCTATTTCAGCATCGAGTGCTAGAGCGCGGATGAGGAATATCATAATAATTGTGTTTATTTGCATTTCTTAGCCGAGAACATACAGCTATCCTGAGACCTGAGCTATAGGAGAACCGGGGCATAGAGGTGGGTGAAGCAATTAAATATCCAACTCATACTCCATCCTGTCTTTTTGCACGAGGTAATCATTTCACTTCTACCCCTCCTTAGGCTCAGATTAAAAGCATATTCTTTTGCCTAGAACGGTTTCTAAGCACAGGTAAATTCGGCTACCCCTCCTTTGCACTGTAGTCTTCAGTATTGTATAGAAGCTGTGCCCCCTAACTATAACTATCTTCAAACCACTTTTTAAAAATGGGAATGTGGCCCGACGTAAGCCAGGCGACCGAGTGGTAGTAGTCAGTGACTGAATAAGTTAAACGCGAAATTCGAAATTCCTAACTGTAACGGCGGAAACTGAAGCTTTTCTTTTGAAACAATTCTTGAAGGGACTACTTCACTGCTACTCTTCGTTGCTACTAGCTCACTAGCTTACCCTCACGACTTCGTGTGCACGTACGACCATTGAGATATCAAGCATATCGCAAATATTCGCAATAGTATCCCCACCGAAGATATATGAAGTGGCTCGTATCTGAAAGTGAGAACTATTTAAGATGAGCTACCCTATCCGCTCGCATCTGGAGCATTCAAAACGGTTTTGATGACGCCGAAGCACATTGTGTTGTGGTATAGAGAATCAAGCATTATCCCCATCTTGTGCATTATGCGAGCTTCGGCATGGAAGGTCTAGGTACGTACAGAAAAGATCATAATCGGTCATAAGCTTCATACGTAGCTCAACCTTGGTCAGTGCCTTCATCTAGATGAAACACATATACAACGGCTAGAAACTGACCAATATCACACTGAGAGCCTGAAGATCTATGCCCTACATGCTTTTCTGCTGAAGTTGGTCGTCCGCAGAACTATCAACAAGTTTTATGGAGGCAAGGAAGATAAAGAAAGGTGTCAGTAACAAAGAAAGGTGGGCATTCCGATCTGTTGCTGGAGACATAACAGGAAGCAGGGCTCCGTTGTTTTTGGAGAACCACTTATTGATAGAAGAGACGTAAGGGTGCATAAACAGCCGTATGAATGAAGAACAAATTAAGGCACGGTCGTTAGGGACGTGAATAACAGGTCGCGATTTATATGGCTCGATGTTTCGGAGGTTTCTTTGATTACGGTGCTTTTCGTAGGTATGAGATCATCCTCGAATTTGGTATTTACGGGATAATCAGCCAAGCGTTTATCTTTCCAACACCGCCATTAGATTCACCACCTTCAATAACTTCATTATACGTGCTTTGGTTAACTCAACTTTTATATTAACATTTATATATTTTCGATTTTTTCTCCCGTTCATATGTATAAGNTCCCCCAACAGCACGAAGATTTAAATACGGGGTTCAGTATGAGGGACATTGGGAGGCAAATCGTGAGATTCCTCAGCTCCCTTCAGTAATATTTGAAATTTCGGGGTTATCACAACGGTCTTTGCCAAAAGGCAAGAATGCTGCTTCACACTCTTGAAATTAAGATGCTAGGATGAGAATGTGAAAGAACGCAACTAAGTGGAGTAAGAGAATAAGAATCAAAGGCGGACAGCTTTACTTAACAGGAAATGCGAGAGCAGCTCCTGCAACGGTATGTACGCACTTAAGGGAGAAGATCGCTTTGTGAAAACTAAACCAGATGCTAAACCCAGATAATTACGTAATCTCCAAGCAAAGGATTAAAGCGTTGTTTAAATTCGCACGGATAACCGAAGTTCCCGACAGTAAATAATGGTGTTCTGTTGAAAACAAGAGTGGAAATGAAAAAATACTGGGTAGTTCACAGACATTCGCTCCTCCAGGCAAGTTACCTCCAGAATGGCGCTTATTACAAAGGATACATAAGTAACAATTGATGGGCGAAAATGAGTATAGCAACTAGGTTGGCACCATAACTTCCGAATGTCAATAGCCGCACATTGGCTCCAGAGGTGTTCACTAAAACATCCAGGCGCGAGGAGGGACAAGCATTACAGTCCTCATATACCGCACGAAGAACAACTACTAACTATGCGACTTTCACAGTTTCTTGATCGAGCTCCTTTTATGGCATAACATTTGAACAGGGCGTAATAACAGCTATGAGAACACCTCACAAGGATGGGAATTCATTTACAAAACTTTAGACTCGGACGGAACTCGAACCCGTACTTTCGCTTT